CTTTCCTCCTCCCTCCTCCTTTTTCCCCCTCCCTCCCCCTTCCCCGCTCCTTCTCCCCCCACCCTCCCCAATCCCTCTGCAGGAGACTTTCGCAGCGACGGAAAGTTGCAGTCCCTGGTAGCGCCTTGGGGGTCTCCCGGCAGTGTCCAACCGCCGCCACCCGTCTCCGACTACGGCACTTCTGAGATCTCCTTCGCCGGAACCCTCGCTCACTTCAGCCGGATCGCCTGTGCCCAAAACGCCCCACCCATGACGATGCTCCTTGACGGAGGCCCGCAGTTCCCCGGGCTGGGAGTGGGCAGCTTCGGCGCGCCGCGCCACCACGAGATGCCCAACCGTGAGCCGGCGGGCATGGGGCTGAATCCCTTCGGGGACTCAACCCACGCCGCCGCCGCCGCCGCCGCGGCGCACGATCTGTCTTCGGGCCAGAGCTCGGCGTTCACGCCGCAAGGTTCGGGCTACGCCAACGCCCTGGGCCACCATCACCACCACCATCACCATCATCACCACGCCAGTCAGGTGCCCAGTTACGGCGGCGCTGCCTCGGCTGCCTTCAACTCCACGCGCGACTTTCTGTTCCGCCAGCGCGGCTCCGGGCTCAGCGAGGCAGCCTCGGGTGGCGGGCAGCACGGGCTCTTCGCTGGCTCGGCGAGCAGCTTACACGCTCCAGCTGGCATTCCCGAGCCCCCAGGCTACTTGCTCTTTCCCGGGCTGCATGAGCAGGGCGCTGGGCACCCGTCGCCCACTGGGCACGTGGAGAACAACCAGGTCCACTTGGGGCTGCGCGGGGAGCTATTCGGCCGTGCTGACCCGTACCGCCCGGTGGCCAGCCCGCGCACGGACCCATACGCGGCCGGCGCGCAGTTCCCCAACTACAGCCCCATGAACATGAACATGGGCGTGAACGTTGCGGCCCACCACGGGCCCGGCGCTTTCTTCCGTTATATGAGGCAGCCCATAAAGCAGGAGCTGTCGTGCAAGTGGATCGACGAGGGTCAGATGAGCCGGCCCAAGAAGAGCTGCGACCGGACCTTCAGCACCATGCACGAGCTGGTGACGCATGTCACCATGGAGCATGTGGGGGGCCCGGAGCAGAACAACCACGTCTGCTACTGGGAGGAGTGCCCCCGCGAGGGCAAGTCCTTCAAGGCGAAGTACAAACTGGTCAACCACATCCGAGTGCACACGGGCGAGAAGCCCTTCCCATGCCCCTTCCCGGGCTGCGGGAAGATCTTCGCCCGCTCTGAAAACCTCAAGATCCACAAGAGGACCCACACAGGTAAGGGGGAAGGCGGGCGGGCGCGGGGTTCACCGGAGGTACCCCGCCACGGGGAAGACTTACAGCGCGAGGAGGGGTGGCAGTCAAGGAGAGGGGAGGCACCCCGCCAAGGCCGTTCCGAAAAGAAGCGCTGTCAGTGCCCCTCCACCCCTCGCCCTCCCCTTCCTGCGGCGCTTTTACCCAGTTGTAACTTCCCGGGCAGGCGCCTCTGCAGTCTCAGGAACTAATTGGGACCTTCTCGCGCCCAGGAACAAACTGGCGCCGCCTCTTTTTGTCTCCCTTTCTGGATTACTATGAAGGGACTCCGATTGTGTTGAGAGCGTATTGCTTACAAGCGACTTAGCTCTCGGCACACATTCGAGGAAGGCAACCATAGAAATGCTAATGAAAACTAACTTTCGGTTACTTCCGCTCTTTTTTTACACTTGATTGGCACATCTCCTAATTAAATGACTGATACTTTTTTCAAACTATTTTTATTTGGAGTTCCAGGTTCAATTCAGTCCTCCGGGAGGAAAGCTAAAGTAAAAAAGGCACCAGTTTCGTAGCTTGTTCAGAACATCTTGTAAAACTGTCTGGAGCCCCTGGATTTATACAGTTTTCTCCTTTCGAACATTAAGTACGACTACCCAGGCTTTTAAATACTGGGCTTAGCAAAACCGCTGTATTTGAGAGAGGCAAATTAAAATGTACAAAGAAGGGGCTGAACAGAATTGTCCTGTCCTGGGCGCATTGTCCCGCTGGGTTCCATTACGTCGCCGAGGTAGCGACGGAACGTGGCCGCGCGTTGCAAGCGGTGGGCCGGGTAGGGTGGATCCACAACTTAGAGGAAACTTCGGAGAAACCAGGGACTTTCCTGTCCTGCGAGAACAAAGGGATGGTCGGGTTCTGGGCCGGCCCTGACCCATCCCGCCGCGGACCACCACTGCCTAACCCAGCGGGATCAACCAACGGTCTCTATTTTTTTTCTCCAGGGAAAAGAGAAGCCGCGGCCGCCCCCAGTCGGCGCTCCCTCTCCGGGAAGACCGCCAGGAGCTCAGTCCCCAGCTGCTTGGCTCTGGGAAAAGCTCCCGGTCCTGACCGTGCTTTCTTCCCTTTGCGTTTTTGCCTTTTGCAGGTGAGAAACCTTTCAAATGTGAATTTGAAGGCTGTGACAGACGCTTTGCCAACAGCAGCGACCGCAAGAAGCACATGCATGTGCACACCTCGGACAAGCCCTATATCTGCAAAGTGTGCGACAAGTCCTACACGCACCCGAGCTCCCTGCGCAAACACATGAAGGTAATTACCTCTTTATTAGCGGTCGGCGGTTTGTAAACCCACTGCCCGACACCGGGCCGCGGAACGGAAGCGCCCGCGCTGCCAACCCTCTATCCTTCACGTTAAATCCGATTTGCTCCAGCGGTGACACCTTGAACCCATTTGGGGGACCCGGGGGGCGGGGGGCGGGTGAGCAGCGTTGGGAGGGGGAGGGAGCGGAGGCAACAATCGGTTGTTTACTGGGAAGCTCTAGCCGAGCTCGCCAGGGCTTGAAGCTGCAGTTGCCGCCTCTTTCCTGCTCAGCCCGCGGTGGGAACTGAGTGGCCGCGCCGAACCCGGGGATGGGTGGTTCATTCGCTCTTCGGCTTCCGATAAAACAATAGGGCCGAGGAGCGCAGTCCTATTCCCACACATCTGTCTGGGACTTTGCAGCACCTGGGGCCCCTGTGCCACCCATCTCTGTACCTGCTTTCCCAAGCCGCAAAGGGCTTGATGAAACCTGGGCCCGGGGTGAGTATTTTATAGGGCCCCACGGAGTCACTGCTTACCCTCCTCCATGCTCGGAGAAAGGATTTTTGAAGTAGTATAACTAAAACGGAGTACTTTATTCTTTTTCCATAATGCCAGCTCTTAGGGCCCAAACTGGTTTTTTGCGAACATCTCCGGGTTTTCTAGACATCGGTAATATGGAAATTAAAACAAAACAGCATTTATCTTTTAAGTGGGTCACTGGGCGGTCTTGCTCGTACAGTGCTCGAATTCTGCTCTTGTTTTTGCTTGCACATTGCCAGTTGGAATTATATTCATTATAATATATACATGTTAATTTTAGGTTCATGAATCTCAAGGGTCAGATTCCTCCCCTGCTGCCAGTTCAGGCTATGAATCTTCCACTCCACCCGCTATAGCTTCTGCAAACAGTAAAGATACCACTAAAACCCCTTCTGCAGTTCAAACTAGCACCAGCCACAACCCTGGACTTCCTCCCAATTTTAACGAATGGTACGTCTGAGGACAAACATAAACACAAACCCTGTTAACCATAGAATGGACCAAATGTATTTTAAAAAGAAAACTGAGACCAATCAGATGGAAATGGAGTTTTAAGGCAAGAGGCCATATATAGGGCTACATCTTGTTAATTGCAATTGTCCAGGAAGGTTTGGGGCAAGATCCAAAAGTAGCCATGCCTTTTTCTCAGGATTAGAAAATATGTTTTGGCATTTGAAGGATTTTTTACAAAATCTTTTCACTGCTTTTTTTCTCCCCTTCCTCTTGCTCTCTGCACACCCCATTCCTAAACTCCTTCAATTCATTTTAACACTTGTCCTGTTTGTTGAGAGGAAGTTATAGAAGGCTTGTTGGTGGTGGTGATGTTACACTGATGGAAACTCTTCTTCGCCTTAGTGGTGATTGTTTAAACTCTCACAGTCTTAAACGTTGCCAAAGTCCTGTTATGTCTTGAACTTTTCCTCAAAGCATTACACTTGTGAATGTATTTTTGTCTAATGGGGTCGAAACTTGTTCAGTATTTTTTCAGGCTGAGGATGTGATGTTACTCTACACAGATTGTGACGTTTAGTATACAGTTGCCTTTTGTAATAACTTTTTTTTTGTAAATACATATCCATTGATGCCATATTTATCGTTTGTAATTTAATTATTGCTACAAGTGCCGGGAACTGAACAATATTTATGGATAAATGTTTTCTAACAAATTCTGTACAGCTTTTGATTATAACTGCTTTAGCATTAAAAATTTATTGTTTTGAAAGAACACAATTTACAATTTTTGAACCACTGACTTTCTCTTGTTTTGTAACAGCCTCCTTCTACAAAGAGGAGATGTGAGCAAATTAAATCTTGTTTGTTGGTATTTATAACTCACTCAGATCCCTTTTTTAATTGTTAAATTATTTTTCTATTGCAGTATAGATTCCTTACAGTGTCAGTTTCCATCTGGGAAGACTCTCCTTTCTTTATCTCTAGCTCAGATGGTTGTTTAACTGCGAGTTTAAATGTGTTTGTCCTGGATTTTCGGCATGCAAATCAAATATTACTGATCAATTCAGTTAGTGGCCATGACATCTCAATCTTGTACTTCAAAGACTGAGAAGCTGGATTTAATCATCCCTGCCCTACATATATAAACATAAGGTAACCTAATGAGTTTTATGTCCCTTAGTTCTTTATTACCTTACATAAAAATGAAAATTGTGGCAGGGTGCATGTCTTTCTGTTCTATCTAGAGATCACCCATATACCTATATATGTTTGTATTTATGACTTATCTAATCTGCCTATCAAATCTATCAAGCTATCTATATATTTCCAAAGGATAGCATATGTCTGGAACAGTAGTGAGGAGTAAGGCCAGTTGAGCAGTGCTTACTTATGGTTAAAGTGCTTCTTAAAATATCCATAGTCCGTTTACAATTTTGGAAAGCAAAGGCTGATTTGTTTGCTGTATATAGTTAAATTCATAATTACCACAATTATCCATAACATTTATATAGTGGTGTAATAACTACAGCAGTTCTGAAATGATACTATGGAAAAAAAGCATTTGCAAAATATGTATTTTTAAAGTTCATGGTTTGCAGGCAAAGATGTTAAGAGCATTGTTTCCATTAAAATCAATAATAATGAAAAACGGTTGTTTGCTTTGTGATAAAATGTTAACAATCCATTTAATCTTCAGTGAAGCAACTGGTTTGGACAAACAGTTCTTTTACAATGGTTATGGAAAAGAAACTGATTACTATTTGGGGGGGTTGGAGTGGGTAGAGTGTTGAGACCTTTTTTATAAAGGTGCTGTTTATTATTAAGAGCCCAGTCTCTGCATGAATAACAGAAAGGTGGAGATAAGAAATTGTAAAGTATTTAGAAATGTAATGAATAGGCTTAAGTGCCTCTTTAAGGGGCAATGCTCTAGGATTTTTGGTGGCAGTCAATTTCGTATTATATATAATCATTTGCAATTTTACAATTTTGTTTATTGTTCTTTTTGAAGAAATAAAGTCTTGGCACATCTTATATATGTTATAACATTTTTTTATTTGGTGCCTATTTTTTTTTAATGTTCAAATAAATCAACCTAAAATTGAAATGCTTACAGGACTTCTGATGATTAAAAGAAACGTTGATTCCTTGGGTACAGTTGAAGCAATCTATTTTAAGTTATCTACTGATCTTTATCAACAGACAATTAATTATTGACAGTTTCTAGTTGCAAATTGCTTTGGAGGCAATTTTTTTGTTATTGGAGAATGGGGTCTTTTGTACTTTTCTCCAACAATATCCCAGCCTGAATGCCATGAACAGAGATTGGGATGACTACACATGTGATGAGCAGGTAACCTGGGGAGTCTACCACTCCCAACCCAGACATTCCAATCTTGACCTTGACATTGGGGGTGCTGGACCAGATCTCTATTTCAGGATTCTTCATTTCAAACCAGGGACCATTTTAAATGTTCAGCAACTTTCAAAAAGTGCATATTTATAAGACTAGCTTTAAGTGTATTCCATTGTGAAGTCAAAATAGTGTGTTTTTCTTCTGAAATATACAATGAACTTTCACAATTTACTGTTTTCTCCATGAGTTCCCTCCCCCACCCCCAACCTAACTAACCTTAAATGAGCTATGGGTTGGGTGCAAGATTCATTCAGATACTCGTTTTCCTTACCCTGCCCCCCCCCTCAATATATTAAATATCTCCCTAGGAGACAAAGAAGAGTTTGATCTTTTCTTGGTGGCTTGAAATTCCACCATAAAATTTTACAGAACAGCATTGTTGGTGTCCTAAGAGGGGAAGATGCCAATTAATAACAAGGATGATAACCAATATTATCAGAACATAAAAGCTTGCCCTTCCACATGATTACCTCTAAATTGGGTGTAGCGTCATTATTTCTCAAAATTGTGTCTTCTGCCCTTGTCATTGTGGCAAAAGAATATCTATTTTTATAGAAAACTTTTCAGATTTTCTTCTTCCTATAATCTGGTTCTGGGAGTGCACACTTACACTCTTGAATTTTCAGTAAATAACCTTAGAGAATAAACACTCCCCCCCCCCCAAAAAAAAAAAAAAACCCAAGTCATAACTGCTTAAGCCTGAAGTCCAGGCTAGGCTCCTCGTAATCTACTTGCTATTTTTCTTCTTGCACCTGGTAAGACCTTTGTTACAAGTCCATTATCTTTTTGAAAATGGGTGATTTAGCATAAGAAGATTCCCACTGTTAGGTGGGGAAAGGGGAGGTGGCAATTTCCACGCAAGACAGAAGTTTGGCCTTTATCCAGTTTGGAAGGTTAAAGATCAGGATCCAGGCAGTCGGTCTTGGCTACTGGGAAGGTTGGAGACAGTGAGCAGGGACCTCCGCTCACGAAGCCTCCCAGAAAAGTTGGTGTGTTCGGGACTTCATCGCCCCTCCCCCTCTCTCCGCCTGATGTCTCTTTGCTTCTTCGCCCCTGGCTCCCGTTCCCCTTAAAACAAACGAGGAAAGTCTAAGGGCCTATTAACACGTAAGTTCCTGAAAGGATCGCCACCGGCGAGCCCAACCCCTTAAGAGAGTGTTCTCCTGGCACCTCGGCTAGTTTTCTCTCCCGAGCGTCCGGGCCTCGAGACCCAAATCTCCAGTCGGGCTTTGGCCAGGCGTTTCGGAAGTCCTCAGGTCCCTCGTCACGGCGCCCAGGGTCTCTGTCCACACACCAAGATCTTGCAAGTCCCCTTCGAGGCTCAGGCCGTGGGGAGGGGACCTCATTTCCTAGGGTCAATTTTCTCGCGGTCTCTGCCCGCTGACCCTTTGACCTCCACCTACAGGGCCCTTGGCGGCCGTAAGCCGGCGGTCGCCCGGGCTCCGAGGACGCTTCGCGCCCCATCGCCTCCCGGCCTCATTAGGCCAGCGGGGCTGTAAAGCAGGAATCAGCCGCTGCCTAATCCGGACCCGGGGTCAATACGAGCCCAAACAATGGTGAGCTCCAAAGGCCACTGCGTAGCGCTGGCCGCAAACTTTGTGTTCAATTCATTTCTCTGAAACGGTGGGAGGGGGGCGGGATGGGGTGGGGAGGGAGGTGCTCGGCAACCCGAAGGCCGCTAGAAGCTCCTGGGGCTCATCAGTGAGCGTCCTCCCGCTTGGCCCTCCGGTTTCTTCGCCGCGCCTGAGATGGAGGGGGCGGCGAGGCCCGGGGCTTGGTTGGCGGCCGGCG